TGAGGCACGATGAGTCTTCAGACAACAAGACTCCAGAATACAAAAGATAAAACCTTTTGGGGCTGCGACTGCTGCAAAAACATAGACATAAATACTTACACAGTGGTCTTTATGGGCCCAGAATTACGCGCTGTTTGCCCGCTGTATCCCAATTTCTGTTTGTTTTTACTACAGTAGGTATGTGGCTTCTGCAGAGGCATAACAGAGCTCTGCAGGAACAGCTCAGTGGAAACGGCCTATTCTCTCCTCTTGTTTATATTCATATCTAACTTTCAGTAGATGAAAATCATTTTTAACCATTTAGCATACAGTTTGTGGTGTTTGTGAAACATGTAGGAGAGAATCTGACTCATTATAACACCTGAAAAGCTGTTATTACAATTATTTGTTTACAGTTTCAGTGAGCTTTCTGCATTTTTCAAATATCAAGATTTGGTTATAAGATCAACTTTTTGGTAACTTAACCTGCAGGAAATAATAATAATAAAAAAAGATTCCGTCAGGTTAAATATACTGTTAGTTTCTCTATGTATTTTTGAGTCTTGTAGGCATTCGGAGTGCCTTAGACACGTTCTGTTTCCCGTATGAATGACAGAATTATTGTTGGCTGCTGCATTTTTTTTCTTTGTAATGCAATGTTTTATGTCTTGGGAGTTTTTTAAAAGGCTAAAACGATGAATGTGAAAAGCAAAGCAGATATGCAAATATAATTTGTGCAGGTTTAGAGAAGTCATTTAACTAACAAGAGCTACATTTGAAGTCTGTTGTAACACAATTTTAACAAGGGCCTGTCTGCCAATCATAAAAAAAACTCAATGTCAAATATTTCTTCAGAGTACTGATTGCACAAGAGTGATTTTCAGCTCGCTGGTGCAGCATTTGTCCTGCTACTTTTTTTAAGCATTGTTCACTCTCACCATTTTGGCAACATTCATTCATTGTGTTTCTTTCTCTCTTTTTTACTTTTCATTTAAATATATGATAAAATCTCTCACCAGTCGTGGTTTGCGGTTCTACCTATTTGCTCCCTGTCTCCCTTACTCTCAAAAAACCTTTCTGCTTTCTTCTGCCCTCCACTCGCCCTCCTATCACAGTTCATTAACATCACTGTTTGAATTCAAGTTTGAAGGCTAAAGCTGATTAGCGATCAGAATATGTTTGTAGTTTTTCTTTTTCATTAGAGATCCCCGCATATGCTTGCAATACATAGTCTACATGTACTGAAATGCTTGTGTGTGCTTCTTACAAGTTATCGTGTTTGTATCTCCGGTTTATCATTCAGTTCCAATTGCGGTATGTGTAAGTACAGTCATGTATTTGTTTGTATTTACATGCAGGCCCATGCTTTGATTTGTGTGGGTGCATTTGCATGCATATGTACAAGAGGTACTAGAGTCAATTTTTTATCAGCAAACGTCTGTGTCTGAGTTTCTGAAAATGTGTGTTCGCTCCATATCATCGTGGGTACCAGGTTGCATGTCACCGGGTGGCCTCTGTAACTCTCTGCTGCAAATGAGCTGGCAGAGGGAGAAATGGAGAGATGGTGGGTGAAAACAGAAGGAGCAGGGAGTGATTGATTGATTTTGCCTTTCTTCCAGTGGAGTAACATCAGGAGAAGTTGTTGAATATAAATGATGTTAATGAACAGTTAAGTCTGTGTTAAAGCACTTGTAGCAAAGGTTGACAAGCTTCTTTTAGAGGTAGTTGTCAGTGATTTGGCGTGTTTACCTTATTTAGTGCAATACTCCCAAAAATGTTGCCATTATTTGTCTAGCCTTTCAAGTAGATGAGACCATTTTCCTACTGTGAGTTACGCTTAAAAATGTTCTGGGAAAAGTAACATCCAGTTTTGTATGACTACTGCAACTGGACACAGCTGTAGTACCTTGAACGTTACCTATACTTCCTCACTATATTTTCTAGCTAGAAAAAGCTTGTCTACATCATTGTTTTACATGACCTGTTGATAAAAAGGCAATATCCTAAAAACAGAACTGATAGATTAGTAAGAAAGCCAAGAGGAAATAAAACTAACTAGCCAGCAAGGGCAGCTTAAACTGACTGATGACTTCTCATTCTGGAGCCCATTTTTTTATCGTACTGAACTAACTAACCTAGAAACCAATTTTCACTGCACCATATGTTGTAATGCTGACATCAAGGGGCAGAGAGATAATGGTTGTGATCAGACAAAAATCAGACAGACTTTAGACACAGATAGTGTTTTTCTTGAAAAAATGTTGGGTGGCTGTTTCAGACCATTTGGTAACCAAAATTCAGGCAGTCAAATGACACTGGATGAGAAAAGGAAACATGCATTTGGTTACTTCATTACAATAATGTGATGACTGTTTCTTACTTTGCAAAAGATGGTTTGAATGGACCTCTATTGTTTGCAGAAACATCATCAATGGCACATTTTCCCCTTCATATTGAGACCAGTTTTGAGTGGGGGAAATGACATTTAAACTGTGTTCATTGGACAAAAGACTGTAACAAAACTCTTATGTATTTTTGGGGATTTATACAGTAGTGATGATTGGTTTTATTTCACTGTATCACTATTTTGTGAAGGAAAATATTATTATTTTTTTATCCCAAGAATCAAAGTTTCTGTTTGCCAAGAAGGGGAATATTTTGACAGAAGCACATGCATTCAAATACATGCAAAGCACACTAAACCTCTCTTAGGCATACACAGAGATGCTTATTGTCTGTCACTTTCTCCTACACTCACAAATGCACACACACACACAGACTCAGACACACACACTTAGCCTCCATATAGTTGAGATGGATGAGTATGCAGTAACTGACAGTTGATTCATCGGCCCCGCAGCCACCATACATATTCTAATGCAGCCTTGAGGAAAGTAAAAAACTTGGAGAGGGAAATCAGGACTTTTGCTTTTAGACTGCAGGAGTAAAGGGACCATTATTCTTACCCAGCATAACAGAGCTGTCAACTGACGAAGCACATGCCATCGCAAAGAGATTCATTCTCAGAGACCACAAACTTCAATCTTTAAATGACTCTTTTAGTTGCAAGTGTTTTCAGAAGATTACTGTGTAGCGTAAGGAAGCTTCATTTTAAAAAGACCTTTAATTGGTTGGTCGTCTATTTGCACGTGTGTGTTTCTGAGCATCATTGCCTCCATCTTAATAATCATTGATCAACTTTCAAGCTGATCCATGTTTAGATGCCTCAACGATTCTGTATCACAACAAAGCTCCAGGAAACTAATTTTTATTTTTATTGTTTTACCTAAAAGAATATTACAGTGTGATTATGACTCACATTTTAAGGACACAAGAAGTTAATCCACACTTGGACACACTTGTTTCTAGTGCAGCTCAGGCACATCATATCCTTCCGTTAAAAAGTGGGTCATGACCACTGTTCAAGGTGCTGATATAGAGGTCTTCTAAGAAGTGGGAGCTGCCCATACTAATTACCATAGTTCATAATGATGAACAGAATTCTCACCGGCACTGTCTGAGGGCCAGTAAAAAATACTCCATTTAATTTCCATGCCATTGTTTCCATCTGCTCCTGTTGCTCTTTAACTGAGCCAGTTGTTGAGTCACACTACTGTGCCTTCACATTTTGTTTTGAAAGTTAATATTACTATGTAATTTGTCTTTCTCAAATAATTACATTTCCAGTAGATTGCATATACCTAATGTCTTCTTCCTGAAAACAGAAGATCATTTACTTGGTCTCATACTCACCATGTATTACACATTCATATGTGATAGTGGGGAGTATGAAAAGTCCCTTGTGGCATTGGTGTTTAGCAGCACTTTAGCACTTTATATGCTTTTAGTGAAAGTCGTTTTGTCAAATATTTAAATTTCCCCATTATATATAGTATTTTCCAAGTAAAGCAAATGGTCTGCTTTTAGTTAGACTTATTTTCATATGGGTTAGAACTTTTCTTGCCTGTGTCATTTCAGAGGTTACTTTCATTTTGAAAAGATATTGCCTATAAAAGGTGAACTTGGTTTGGACAAGAAGAAAAAAAAAGGAAAGAGCAATAAAACTTCATGCTTTTAGGCTTGACAGATGCCATTATTTCAAAGTAGCTGTCAGCAGTGTGTCAACAAAGTGATGGATTAATGCTACAAGTAAAGAATTTGACATCTCAAATGTCTCCTTTAGCTTTAATGGTATCTATTTTCACTGCAAAAGGTAAAGTGCACGTTAGCAGCAGAGTAATTCTTAAATATTACATTAAAAGTTGATGGATTTGTACACTTAAAGGTAAAACATGTGTCTGTGAAAGGATGTGAGAAGTTGAGTCTCAGATAATGGATGGATGGATGGATGGATGGATGGATGGATGGATGGATGGACCAAATAGGCTGTAGTTGCTACTGAAGTGTGAAAAAAGTACTTGCCTATATAATGAAAATATAAGTCTTAGATTCTTATTTCTGAAAATTACACCTCAAACCCAAAGAGAAGATTGGAGACATTCAGTTTTTTTGTACTAAATACTGGAACACAGCCGGAATTCTTGGCAGCAGTAAATCCTGTAATTCTGCATTACCAATGGTAAGGCCACCCATATGGAAAAGAAATAGTAAAAACATATATGATTTACTCATGAAAGCGGCCACTTTCTCATAACTTTCTTTTTTTTTTTTTAGTAAGTATACAGTACAAAACATACAAGTTTCATTATATAATTTTTCAAGGGATCTTATATGTGTTTTCACTCTTGTATGCTTTTCATACAAGTTTCATACAAGACAGATACAAACTTTATAAGATTTATATATATCTTTTCCATATGGGCAGCTGCAGATATAGTTAAAGTGAAAAGAAAGTGATGTATTTTTTTTCCTGTTTGCTGTGTGACTTATCAGGGACTGTGTAATTTTTCAGGGACAAAACCTTTTATTGATGTATTCAAAAGAATATTTATTGATTATTTTATTTTAAAAAAAGAGAAAGATTTTACACTCAAATAAACATTTTTGTCTTTATTTCACAGCTCCACCCACTCCCATTGCACCTCCTGAGCTTCTTTCTGTTGGTGCTACTTACCTTTGGATCAAACCCAATGCCAACAGCATCATTGGTGATGGGCCAATAATCCTGAAGGAAGTGGAGTACCGGACCACTTCAGGGAACTGGGTAGAGACCCATGTGGTTGACTCCCCTACATATAAACTGTGGCATCTGGACCCAGATGTAGAATATGAGATCAAGGTCCTGCTTTCCAGACCTGGAGAGGGAGGAACAGGACCCCCAGGTCCACCACTGGTAACCAGGACCAAATGTGCGGGTAAGTAAGCACTTTTTTCTTTGTTATTGCTTTAATTATTTGTTTAATTATTTTCCCATTTATGTTGCCTTTTTACCTATTTCTCAATTATTTTTAAAAATTTAGATTTCATTTAGAAATCTCTCTTTGCAGTTGCTTGATCCTGTTTTGTCTTATTTCTGTTGGACAACTGTACTGTGATCCACTGATATACTCAGCTCATTAATCCTTGGGTAGCACTAATATAATAAGAATGATTTACTATGGTCTGAATATGATGACAGCATGATTTGGAGCCAGAGAGGTAAAAAAGGCTGATGAGAAAGATAACAAAGAAGGAAAAAATGAGGAAAAAAGTGTTTCCTTTTACGTCTTCTTGGGAAGAGAACGCAAATCAAAGCTGATGATAATTGACATGTTAAGAAGAAGCCCCAGAGATGAAGAAATGTTGGAGTGCATAGTTTGCAGGGAAGAAGGTAGGAGAGGTTAGGTGGGGGCAATCATGGCCAATAATGAGTATCCCAGCGGGGGTGTAAGGACGCAATAAGTGGCAGTTCATTTGATAAAATGACAGCCCATCAGATCTCTGATGGCCTCTTATGTGTGTGTAGGTGTGTGTCAGTGTGTATGTGTTAAGTGTGTTCTTACTTAACAAGTAGGAAACCATCATTCTCCATTCCAGCATTCCCTATGGACTTCTCTGTGTTTGCATTTTGCCATGCAACTAATTGTCTTTGTTCTATCTTGGCCTTTTGACCTTTTTTGTTGCTTTCACTGTACTACTTTAGTCTTCTGATTTTCTGACGCTATTCTTGCTTCCCACTCTCTTTCGTTCTTAAATTCATTTTCCCACTTCTAACTTTTTTCTGTCCTTTTCATTTCCTTTTCTCTGCAATGTTTTCCACTCTTTTGTCCTGACTTCATTTCCTTCTTGTCTTCCTTTCTCCCATTTTAGAGTTTTTTCACCCTTTCTCCTTTTTCATCACTTGGGTTTTACTTTATGGTGTCGTTTTTTTGAACTCTTCTTCCCTTCTGTCCTTTAATGTTTACTTCTTCTGTTTTTGACACTTTCCCCTTTTATTCACGCCTCCCCCTTTCTTCTCTGCCATGTCCTTCTTCCTTCTGCCATTCTGTCTCAGTTGTTTTTCTCAAGGGCTTCATTTTATGAGAATTAGAGAGAACAAGACAAAATGATGATGAAGAGTGAGAGGAGATCAAAAAGATGAAGGTGTTATTCTGTAAAGACAGTGGGCTCGATCTGGATCTAACCTTGCATTCAAAGAGGGGAGAGAAAGAGAAAATGCTTTAATAATGCTCTTTTTTTTGATGGAATATACATAGCTAGTGTGTGTGCCTTGGGGCATTCGTTGTTTATGCTACAAGTTCTGTCAAAACTTTGGAGCATTAACTTGGCAGATGCTTAAATTTAATTGGAATGGGAATTTTGTGTATTTGCGGTTGCTGTGTTATGTGTGAGTGAGAACGTGTGAACTCTACTGTGTGCATATCTTTCTGTGTTTGTGTGTGTGAGTATGTCTGCATTGTGTACATGCTTGTGTGTCTACCACAATGTGTTTGTGTTTGTGCATTTGTAGTCTTCAGTCCACCCCATGTTTTTTCTTTTTTTCTTAACTCTGTGGTAATCAGCAGGTGAAAATTATGTGTTAACACTACAGTCTCTGTTTTGGTCTCTCTCCCTGCTTCCTTGCTTTATCTATCTCTCACTTTCAATCTCTCACTCTTACTTTCTGTCTCCCATATTGAAACACAAGTAGCTGGTGAGGCGCTGGGGTCTTATGGGCCCTACGCATAAATGTTTTCTCATAAAGAACTCATTGTGCAAACCTGCTAGCTAAATAGCTTACTAGCTTGTAGAATATGAGCCTAACCAATTCTTTAAACGAGGCATAGACCTTACCTTCTATCCTTCTATCTACAGAGAAAATGCTTATTCAACGTATCATCCAGATTTTTTCAGGTTTGTGAATCCACAGCTACAATACTCAGTGATGATGCAGTGAGATGACTTTGCTAATATTAAATTACAGTTTGAAGAGTGCTTTTACAAATTGATATATACAGCAGATGCCAGTTTGCAGAATTACTAGTAAAAATGTTAACTCTTTCTTTTGCTTTTAGATGTTGTAATAAATAAAATTCTCTACCTATACCAGTTAGAAAATGCACAACAGACAATGTTTATGAACGTTTTTACACAGCCAGAGTGAAATTTGCTCACTATAGGGAGTGCAGAATTATTAGGCAAGTTGTATTTTTGAGGAATAATGTTATTATTGAACAACAACCATGTTCTCAATGAACCCAAAAAACTCATTAATATCAAAGCTGAATGTTTTTGGAAGCAGTTTTTAGTTTGTTTT